TCCTCCGGGGGGGGGGGTCCGGGGACGGTCCCCGGCGGTGCGTCAGCGCGCCCCCCGCTGCCGGTCCTTCGTCGCCTTAAGCTTTTTCCTGCGTGGTCGGACGCCGTGTGAGGGTTTCTCCCACCTCCTGCCGAGTGCAGCGGGGAACGCCGTTCCAACAGGGCAGCGGTAGGGCTGGCCCGACGGCGTAATTGCTTGATAAAGATGTGGGCGTTAAAGGAAAAACAGCTTTCACACTATCAAAAAAAAAAGTAATCCCAAACTGCTGACGTACTTGATGTACTCTGTCCATACATTTCCAAGAGATATGGACAGAGTGACTGTGTGTTACCTTAGCCGGCAGATACTCTCACAGAGGTGCCTAGCAGACAGCCATTAAGCGATAGCTGAGTAAGTTTTCCTACCGTCAGTCCTTTTCTGCATTAATCGTATTTTGAACATGGTTGTGGCCATCCAACTCCATTTTTGTATAACGAGGGAACAGTAGGCACAAGCGTCAACAGGTATGTAACACTTGCTCAAGCTATACTGGGGAGCTGACGCGGGGGACGCGGCGGTTCCAGTGCAGCTCTTAAAATGCCACCGATAACTCATCTGCTACAGGTCTCTCAAAAATCTCGAAACTTGAAGAGCACCAGGGGTGGTAGTTCTTAAAATACTTACAAAATATCCCAGATGTGCAGCTTTAAACTTCTTTAATTACATTAACACAACCGAATTCATTACGCTGACGTAGGTGTTAGGTGTTCAACTTTAACCTTAATCTGGTATAAGTACACAGTAGCTTCTAATGTGAAATGGCAGGCAGAGGCTAGTAAAGGCTGCTTGTGTATGGCATGACTTCTGAGTTTGAGATTAATATCTGTCACTTGGGAGACACAAACTCGATCTTATTTGGCATTTTCTCATTGAGATCTCTATTGGAACACCCCCATCTTATGGTGTAATGTGTGCGGGGGTAGGCAGTTCAGCTCAGGGGTTAATAAAATATCATTGCGCCTTATCGGATCTCTGACTCTTAAAATCCCTCAAGGACGTTTAACAGAAATTTGACCTTTTCAGTTTGTGTATCGTCTGTTGATAATGATGTATAGTCACTGAAGATAACAAGGAATGGTCCTTCAGCTCTCCTTCTGATGTAGGAATTGAAGGCTCTCTTTTTCCTGCTCGCACCAATAAAGCTGAAAGACCTTTTCTTACTCTTCTTGTTGGAAGAAGAACTTATTTTTCCAAGCTCCTGTTTGTTCTGGCGGTGGTGTACTGTTGATGCCCTTCTGTATCGGTCTATTTTAAGACTAAAAGTAGTGTTCTTAAAAATCAAATCCATTGAGGGCCCTAAGTGCAACTCGTATGTACAAGTTGGCACCCCTAACCCTTCTTAAGTTAGATATCAATAGTTGAGTTTTTAAAGGTACCTTTAAAGGTTATAAACCTTTCATTCCAGATCTATCAGTTATTCTGAATATAGAAATCATTGCTTCGGGACATAATTTCTGTATTGGATCAAGTCCCTGATTTATCTAGCCACCTCTATTTCAGAAGAAGGTATATGAAGTCCCACAACAAGAGCCTTGTGGACAGCCTGGCCTCCAGTAGTGGGGCTGCTCTGACCCCAGGAGTTTGAGATTGTCAAAACTTGTTTCATAAAAACAGTTCTGTATTGAGAAGAGTGTCTATAAATGTAATTAATACATGGTAACAAGCTGCTGGAAGCAGTGTTACAGGTGCAGACTTAAGGCAGTGAGCTGATACGGTTTCTGAAAATCTGTTTTTTTATTTTGAACTTCCTGATTTTTTTTTTTAGTTGAATTAAATTTCACTTTGCTTTTTTGCTGTAGGAAGAAATAGAAGCTAATGATTTCTTCTTTAGTTTATCTGGTGTGCTTAGAATTATAGAAGAATTTGTATTGGAGTGGACTTCCGGAGGTCATCTAGTCCAGCCTCCTTCTCAAAGCAGGGCTAACTTAAAGCTTAGGTCAGGTTGCTTTTCCGGTTGAGTTCTGAAGCGAATCGAGATTCAACAATCTCTGTGGACAGCTACCCTGTCATTGTGGGTTTTTTGCACAGCTAATTGGAATGTCACTTGCAGCAATTTGTGACTGTTGCCCCTTGCCCTCATTTCTGTTAGACTTGGGTTAATAATTCCTTTCTTCACTCTGTAGAAAGGAATTTTTTTTTTTCTGTTTGCGTGTCAATACTTTCTTACTGCCTTTCCAAGCATCACTGTATTCTGAAGGGACTTTTGCGAGCTACGGAGTTGTACAGCATGTGCCATATTACGCAAGCTAGATCCCTGGTTTAGTGTTGTCTGAATACTTGCAATTAATACACAATAGTTACAAATATTGTCTCCTCTTCTTTTTACAGACACCCCTGGGATACAGTGATCAAAGCTGCTATGAGGAAGTACCCCAACCCAATGAATCCGTGTGTGGTTGGAGTAGATGTCCTCAACAGAAGCCTGGATAACCAGGGGAGGTTGCATAGTCACCGTCTTCTCAGCACAGAGTGGGGATTGCCAAGTATCGTGAAAGCGGTACGCTTTTACAGTCTTAATGGTTTATTAAGGGTGTGATGCATTTTTATGTCATCATCCGAATTGGAGCTGAATTCAAAGTAAAAGCTTAATTTATAGGAAATATCATCCACAAATATCACATAAGCTGTAATTAGCGTACTTTGTAGCAAGAGTACGTTGTAGGCTTTAATATGCCTATAGTGTGTGTATGTCTATACATGCCTTCCAGACTGGTCTGTGTCATGCTATATGACTGATACAACCTACCAGGATGTAGTCTTGCCACTGATCACAGTGTTCTGGTATCCACAAATTACTTTGTATTTATTTGGGGTCACTAAGAACTTGACATTTATGCATTTCAGTTTTTTTGTTTGCTGGGGTTTTGTTTTGTTTTGTTTTAATTTTAGTACTTTTTAAATTTTTTGTATTTCTTCACTTTCAGATTTTAGGAACAAGTAGAACTCTGACTTACATTGAGGAACATTCTGTGGTAGATCCAGTGGAAAAAAAGATGGAGCTTTGCTCAACTAATGTGAGTGGTAGCTTAAGAAGTTCCTGGTAATTAGTTCTGGAGATTAGATGTTTTGCTCTTAACATTTTAGATTAGAAATGTGTTTGCATCTTTCATCAGGAGGCGGCAATTTCCATGTCTTAGTTGGCTCTTTTTTTCTCCCTCCTACTTCTTCCCACAAATAGGAAACTTTAAATACTCTGGCATCAAACATTTGTGATTCTGTTTTTAATGTAAGATTATTTCTCAGAATGGATGTAAAGTAGTCTGACTTTTAGATTAATAACTTGTTCTACATTACACTGCCATTTACAACAAAAGTTTTAATTTGAAATGCCTTTTTTCACAAAATGTAAATGAACTATTATGCTGTATTTTGGTATCCTGGGAGCTTGTAACTATCAGATTTAAAGTGGAGTTGTCTGTAGGAGAGCCTCATCTCTGTACAAGAGGCATTGCCTTTCCTGAGTATTAATTTTCTGTACACTCCAAATAGTGTTATGGTGGTCTTGGTCTTGAAGAGCCTCTCTGAATTGCATGCCATAATTCAGATAAGACTCAACATTCAGAGAAAACAAATGGAAAGCTGTTTGTGCTTTGTACTGTGAATAGGAACTTAGATTGATATAATTAGATCTAGGATAGGAGAAGATGCATCACCCTTTATAGATCTTTTTATTGACTGTGTTCTGGGTTTTATATTCTGCGTACACTGCTTTGTCTCTGACATTAAATTGAGTGCTCTACTATTGAGTAGTGCTGTTGATAACAGAAAAATGAAAGGCGGGAAGTGAGGATTTCAGCTCTCTTTTCTTTTTAAGATTACTCTCACAAACTTGGTGTCTGTTGATGAGAGACTGGTTTACACACCTCATCCTGAAAACCCTGAAAAGTAAGTAAGGATATTTGTGTGCTTCTTTGTGTATAGGAGACATTGTGTTAGTCCAATTCAGTTTAGGTATTAACATTTCTTTATTCTCCTACAGAACTGTGCTAACTCAAGAAGCAATTATTACTGTTAAAGGCATTAGCTTGAGCAGTTATCTGGAAAGCTTAATGGCAAACACAATATCTTCTAATGCCAGAAAGGTACATCTTTATTCTGTTTTCTCCCTCTCCCCCCACCCCTACCTTTCTTTTTGTTGAAATAGTAATTGTCAGTCATGTGTGCTGATACTATATTTAATTTCTCTAAACTTTATGCACAGTTTCAGCTGATTTTTTTGTAGGACCTCAGCAAGTAGAATATAATTTCCCAAAGGATGAAAAGGTTTCACTACTAAATCTTTGTTTTTCAACTAGAATTGCACATCAGAACAAACAAACTTCTGTGTGTATGCTAGAGTTGCACATAGTGTAGACATATTACTGGGTTTTGGGGTTTCTTTTTTCCAAAGCACCTTTCTAAACATTAACCTCCTATTTCCAGGAGTTAGTGCTAGTAGGGAATGTAACTTCCTTTTCAGCCTTTATAATTTGGATTTAGCAGTTAATGCTAGCATATTTTCTGTGCTGCTTTGTCAGTTGTTCCAGTTCCTATCCATTATTGAGCTGTCTCCTTGCCTTTGGCTGAAAGTAAGGTAGTGTAAGCAGAGGCATATTCTTTGAAGAGATGAAACTATACGGGCTTTTGTAGGTAACACTACACTGACTCGTCTGTCTCGTGCTTGCTTTTTCTACTTGGCTTGCAGCCATGGAGCTGTACTTCAGCACGGGCAGAGCTACGGGAGTGCTTATTCTTGGGCACATTGTCTTATCCTTCTTCGGGGAAGGTGGGAAAGAAATGGGATTGCTGGAGAAGCATGGGCATCACTGCCTAACAGCAGGATGAGCGCACCTGAAATTTGAGTTTGTGCTCTGCATTGCTGGAGAGGTTCAGCACAGTGGGAATCTGGCCCAGGTAACTCCTGATATACCAGAAAGCCTGTGCTTTGGCCAGCCCTTTGTCCTTGTGAGAGATCTTGCTTGACCAAGGCAGTGTAAGGCAACTTGATAGGAGGTATTAACCAACAAGATCAGAGAGGAGAAAGCCTCCTTTTCCTCCCTTCTGTGTGCTTCTCCAAAAATGAGAGGAAAACAGGTTAAAATCAGGGAATGGGGAAGGAGTGATGGGTAATGTCTAGACACTGAAGAGTAACTTTAACTAGCTGAGTGCTCTCTGTGTTTGTGTGAAAGTCATAAATGGAACGTATTTCAGATAAATTACAATTCTATTCTGATCCAGTTTCCATTTAGAAGTCTCTGTGGGGCATATATTCTTGAAAGAGAAGTCCAAACCCTGGCTCACAACCAAACTCAGTCTGACTCGGAGGTAGCAAAGCACTAGGTAGTTGGAATGGACAGATCAACTAGGCACGCTTAAAAGTGCTGGCTGAATTCTTCGTGGCATCTGT